AAAATTGATTGTACATAACACTCGTAGTATAGAAAGCTCAGGTAGAAATTTGCGTCATGATAATCGGAATGAAAGTCGAATTACTCTGTGAAAGATAAACAAAGAAGAAAAATTTTCATTAGGCTTCGTTCAGGGTAAAATAGTGAATGGGAGCAAAATATGTGAAACACATATGAGAGTGGGGGGAGGGGGGAGAGGGAGGACCCAGTTATTATAAAGGTGATTACAACGCTTGCCTAAAAAGGATTTTGTAAAATATTTTTTTCGATCCCTAGGCGCTGGAAGGCCCTTCTTTAGGGCAAGTTTAAGGTAATGAAATTAGTGGTGGTTCAAGATTGCGCTTAATATGATGAGGGGAATAAATTATTTATCCATTGGCTTAAAACATGTATTTTAACATCTTAAATTTATGGAATGAAAATAATATTTTTAAACCAGATGTTATAGCTATTTTATGCAATTATATTTATTAACCTATTTTAGGGAATATTATATTACAGATGTGGGGTGTGTGATAGACTTACCTCCACGTGGTGCACCCTGGGCAACGTATACTCATACGGCCAAAAAGTCTATTACCTGGCAGTTGAATTCTGACTTCAAACTGCCATTACTCGACTGTTTGTCATTTTCGCCTACTTTCACAGTACTCATCTCACCTTTATTCCACCTTAACTACCTTCGTCTTTGATACACATTTCTTTCCCCCCCCCTCTTGAATTTTTTACACTTTGGTTTCCCCTCCCCTCTGGGAAGACTGAAATCAACTAAAGGGCTAGTGATAATCATAAAAAGGCCTGCCATTTGATATAATAATAATAATATTATAGATGTACATCAATAGAGTTCATTGAAATTTAAGTTATTTTCATCACAAGCACTGCTATAATAAATGGCTTATAAAATATATTGTTCGGTGGGAAATAATAGGCTAGTTGATCACATATCATAAATTAAAAATCCAACAATGATTGAGCAAAGTTCTCTGAAAATATTTTTTACGATTTCAAAAGTATAACACTTTCTAAGTTAGTATGAATAGTATAAAAATATATAATTAATTTGACTTTTTTGTTTTAAATTTATTGCCTTCACAGTGCCTAAGTGAATAAATTTGTTTGAGTCGAGTTTCAATAAGCCAAAGATCTTAAAACAATTGGGCTGATTATCGTCGCCCAATAGGTGTGGAGTCTCGTACAAAAGCGGTAGTGAAATTATGCAATAATGTAGTTTTCGTTTTTATACTCTAAATTTGATAAAATCTAAGGTAGAATGGTTTAAATTAATTTTTGTTCATACAAATAGCCTGACTATACTTTGTTTTCTTTTTCGATTTTACAATGTTTTTACATTACAAACATAATACTAACTTTATTCTGCTTTTTTTTGTATTAATGATTTTGATCAACTGATGTAGAAAGCAATGCCGTTGAACTAACCAATAGAGCCCTATAAAAATTCAAAATAATATATTGTAATGGACCAATATCACGTTCTTGAATGTATCGGTGAAGGTTCGTTCGGTCGGGTTTATCGTGGTCGTAAGCGCTACACTGGCCGAGTAAGTATTTTTCCATAATTTTCAGTTTTCCAGACTGTGGCCTTGAAATTCATTCCAAAATCCGACAAAAGTGACCGCGCTTTTCAGAACCTAAAGAAAGAAATTGAAATAATGAAGTCCTTAAATCACCCCAACATCATCGGTATAGTGGACGCATTTGAAACTTCAAAAGAAATGGTTGCAGTTACTGAATATGCTGAGGGAGATCTTTTCCAAATTCTCGAGGACGATAGGTGCTTACCCGAGGATGTGGTTTGTTTCTTATTATTTTCAGACCTCATCTTCCCTCATTTTTCTCAAGATTCAGTCTATAGCCGCTCAGCTTGTATCAGCGCTGTACTACTTGCATGCCAACCGAATTCTTCATCGTGACATGAAACCCCAGAATATTCTTCTAGGACACGGAGGGGTTGTCAAACTTTGTGACTTTGGGTTTGCTCGAGCAATGAGTTTCAACACCCTCGTTCTCACTTCTATCAAGGGCACTCCTCTTTACATGGCTCCGGAAATTGTTGAAGAAAGACCTTACGATCACACGGCCGATCTCTGGGCTTTGGGTTGCATTATATATGAGCTTTCAGTCGGTACCCCACCTTTCTACACAAATAGTATAATCAAGCTGGTAAAAATGATTACCAATGACAAAGTGAAGTGGTCAGAAAAAATGTCACCCATGTTCAAAAGTTTCCTTGCCGGGCTGCTTGAAAAAGATGCCAGAAGGCGATTGCAATGGCCTGAGCTTCTTTCCCATCCATTTGTTGCAGGTCTCGTCTCCGGTATGGCGGATCCTCTTCACTGAATTTCTTCTGCGCATTTTATTGACGCCCTGTTGTTCGTTTGTAGTGTCACCAGCAATTATGAAACTGCGAAGTCCGTTCACTCAGCCGTTGACAGCTAGTCAGTCCTTAGAGAAAGAGCGACAGACTCAAATGAAAGCCCGGCCAAAAAGCAGTCGAATTTTGCGAACTCTTTCAAAAGACGCAGCCCCACCATGTCCGGAATTACCCCTTTCTTCGCCCCCTATTACAGCTCATAGACCTAAGGCTGCTGCTCTATCTCCGAATCCTCTGAAAGGAAACAAACCGTTAGCTGCTGTGAGTTAACTACTGTTACACCATAACCACTTTCCTAGTGAATCTTGATTTCCATGCTTAAGAATTATTCCAATGCGGTTAGAATTAGCTCATGAATAGAACAGATGTAGTACTGACTTTTGTGTTTATTTCCTTTATTTAGACGTGTCATTGTTAAATTAATCTTGAAAAATTCCCCACTAGTTCAGTTGTATTGTAGTGGTAGAAATCAGGTGACTGTAGCTGTAGTTGATAGAGTATATTGCCTAATGGTTAAGAATGGATGAGCAAAGCTGAGTATGGGAAGATCGTTCAAGATTTTTTGTGGCTGTTTTAACTTGCCTTGGTACCAATATCATATATTATATCCAAGGTGGACCAACAGTAAGTGATGTAGGTTTCTTGTGGACGCTCATGTAGACTTGTAACAATTTTAGTTCAAGCTGCCATGATACCAACAACCTGAAAAAATTTCTCTTTTCCCAGCAAAACCCAACTTTGTAGATTCGACCTTAATTTTTGGCCTTCTTTCATGTTTTCATTAAACGATCATATTACTATACTCATCTTTGTCACCTAGATGGGGCCCCAACCACACACACAGGCTGTCGAAATGACGGAAGCCATGACAGCCTGGCTTGGTTGCATCACTCGTTGGGATGTGCACGTTTGGGAGACCCTGGGCCGTGTTCGTGAAGGTGGAGGTAGGGCAGTGGCGTCGGAGATTCAAGCTCTAGTATCTTCGGCGCGTCTAGTGAGCGCAGAGAGTGTTTCCGCTTTGAGTACTGGTGCTGTATGGGATCTGCTGCTCCTACGAGATACTCGTTTTGTGGCGGCTACACGAGCTTGTCTTGGCGAGGCCGCTTGGTGGGCTCATCTTCTTGCCGGTGAAATTCCTCCCACTGCTCCCAATGCTCCAACTCCCACACAGGCTGCTAGGCACATTGAGGCTATAATTGCTGTTCTATCTAACGTCATCACTATCGAATGGTAACTGATTTCCAACCAGTCTACGTTATGCCAACGCAGGGGGGTTTCTAGTACTAGGTGGTGACGCCTTTCCCAAAAATTATTACCTATAGAAATACAAAGAAATTAATTTCTTTTTAGAGAGAATGAGTTTATATCGAATAATAGGTAACTTGATAAGCAATAAATGGGAGAGTTATCAAGAAGGTAGGGAACGTATCATCAAGGTTTCATGAATTTTGCATTTTTTTTGATTTTCAGACTCTGCTTGTACGAGATGAACATACTGGGTAGTTGGAAATTGTAATGTTTTTATTTGTCCTCTGGTATTCAGCAATTACTTGTGTACGATGTTCAGTGTTAATTTATCGATATTTTGACTGTTTTTTTGCTCGAGACAAAGTGAACTCTTGATTTGTTATCGCACAAAATTAGCACATTTGGCACATACTAGTTTGCAGGGTTATTGCCGTACATAATTTTGAATTACTGCCCACCTTCAAGGCTTTTTTGCCATTTTTATTGAGTTCCGGGATTTGTAGCTATTTTGGAGGCTTACTTTTATTTTGACAAGAAATAGTTGGCGGAAAGCGGTCTCTTGCGTCCAGATAGACGGATCTCTGTTGAATGCGCTTGGGGTTCTGAAGGTGCGTTTGTGTATCCGAGACCAGAGATGCTTGCTGTAGCGGGTTCAGATTTGGGCACCAAAACGAGACTTTGTCAGATTTCGGAAGTATAAGATATTTAAAATCTCTTCCACTGCCCCATCTCCATGTGACACTGTAAGTTGTTTTTTTTCACATTGTCAAGGATTTCCTCATTTTGACTATTGATGGCATTTGTGGTTCTAAACCTCTTGCCATACTTCAGCGTTAAAGTGCATTGAACTTGTTGCAAAGCCTCTATGATCTGAACAGGTTTCTTATTTAGTGTATTTAAAAGATTTTTACTAGTTCATATCTCAAAATTGGTCATTTAAAGGTTAAAAAATGCTAGAGATTTTGAGGTACAACCTGTCTTGGTCCTGGCCTTACCTTGAGTGATTGGACAGTTAAATGTTATTAAGATAGCTCTAATTACATGTTTGAACTTGTAACTCTTTGTTCTATTTAAAGAAATGACATTTTTCTCAGCACTTTCTGACTCATCCTCGTATATTACACAATAGGTAAGTGGTTAGTCATCTTTCTCCCATAGCATTAGGCGTAGCCTCTAGGGCTCTTCTCGTGTGCTTTTGCTTGACTACACCCATCCCACTGCGTCGCGTTGGCTTAGTAAATCAGCCTCGCATATTGTTATTATGAATCATGACTGGGAGTTGGGGGGGGGGGGGGGGGGGGGGGGGGAGGGGGCAGGATAAAAGGCTTGAAGCCCTGTGCACAAATCGCAAATAGACTGCGTCCGTTTGCGCATGTCGCTCGTCTCTACACCACTGGGTGATCAGTACTCTTATTAAAATCTCGCGTAACCTGAATATCCATGACGGAGAGACACTAAAAGTGGCAAAGATAACTTGTTTCTGCTCTACAAGTCATTTCACCTCTTTCTGGGTCTGAGTTGTCTTTAACACGGTCGCTAACCGGTGTATAAATCGATAAGGTGGTGGTGGTGTCAAATCAGTGGTGATGCAGATTTATGCTTTAGGAGAAATAGCTACATGCGTCAGCATTACGTTGCGCCTAGTTCTCGTCTCTATTTCCTCTTTAGCAATGTCGATGTTCTTGCTGATTTCTACGATCAAACTAGAGTCCCCACATTCTTTATCCAATTACTGGCGGAACTTCTCACAAAGGAGGTGTTTCTTTCGGTAAGTCGACTTAACTGCTTGGTCAATTGTTTTTATTTGGGCAACCGCCTCAAAGAAAATTGAACTCAGGTTTTTAGTTTTAATTTTTACCCATTAAAAATAAATTATATTATTCCATGAATGGTTGGTGGATGAAATTAATTGGAAGGCAATGGCTGATTGCTCCAACATTGAAGAATTTGTTCAGTGTGGGAGCGTATAATCTGCCCTCTGGCGAAAGGAGAAGCATCTGAGAAATGAGATTGCGCCTAACGAGTATTTCAGGAACCTTTCTGAATGACCTTTATAGTATCCGTGAGAAATTGGCTTTTTGTGGCTAGCCTATTTTATAAATACTAAGCGGTAAGTTGGTATAGTTAGGGTTCTTAGCCAGCAACTTTCTCAGTCCGCCAATATGTTGTCGAGGTCCCTTGAATTGGTTAGAGAGGTTCTATCCTACAACTTCTATAGGGATAAATCCACTTTCTACCAATTTCGATGATCCACGTTATTCAATGTGGTTAGACACCCTCGCCACTGGGTGTGCACAGTTGAACTCTATTTTGTGACTTTTGACATGATCGATTTGGACGTTGATTACTATGTAGTGCATCCTTTTTCTTGAACATGGAAAATGCGAAAAAAATATAATGGGAGATTTGTTAATGCTTCCAATTGTAGGTCAATAAGGATTCCCTTATCTCCCTACAGTTAGCTCACTCACATTAATAAATTAAAGAAACTCGTTAGTAGTTAGACTGTGTAGGCCTTATAACAGTGGAATGTATTGTTATAAATTTGATTTGTTGCACTTTTCTCTTTCAGCAATCGTGGTCACAGAATCCCCTACTACGAATTGTCTTTACGGTGAATGCTTACTTTGTTAGCGAAATAGCCCATACACAGGAGCCTCCTGTTGCAGCGTAAGTCCATATTTTCTTATACTCTTGCTTTTTTTTCACCTAAAAGCCCTTTGGTTAACACTTACAACTACCCATTTAGTCAAGCCACATATGTCGGAGTGGGTTTGAAGTTGCTGCAGTTAGTGCCTTCTCTCTTGTGCTTGACCCAAGACACTGACTTTATTCGTGGTGAGCAGACTATTATCGTGAGTTGGATCGGTTGAAACATGGGACCCAAATAATTCTATTTATGCAATACTAACTGTGCTCATGCATTTGTTTAACCAATTATAGTGTATTCGTTACTTCCTTGAATGCCTTCGAAAATGGCCGAATGCGGTGATATCACAATTTCTATCGGCAGCTATTTCCGACTGTACTGCTTCCATTGATGTGCTTCTGCAGTTCCCTTCCATTGGAAGGACATCTAAGGGTAGATTTCGATTGATCCTAAAGTGATAACACCTGTTTACATTTGGTTTAAACTTCTTATTTAAATTATTAATAAGGGCATTTGATTAACAGAAAAAGATCAGCTTATGGTTGTGTATTACGAATACGATTGGAACATCAATGTTCACAGCTGTCATATAGCAACGAGGGCAAAATATAAAGTTGTCCAGAGTAGTATTTGCACATGCTTTTAAATTATGGGTGCTTGCATCACTTCCACCCCTATTTTGGTAGAGCGTTTAGTCCGTATAAGCTAATACGTGGCTAGTCTCTCTCTCTCTCTCTCTCTCTCTCTCCTTAGCCACTCTGGTTTATTGGTGGCGAAAATAAATGAATTCAATACTTTGTGTCAAGGAGCATTCTTTTAAATGTCCGCCTTAAATGGGAGCTATGAAACAGTCCATTGGAAGGGCGCGGGTTGGGTGAAACTAAGGTATTATTTATATCCGGGCTTTCATTTTCTTTCCAATGTTTACTTATTACTCTGTTTTTTTCCATTATTTTGGATGATTGACCATCATCTCCTCGGTGATGTATTTGCGTATTCGTAGTTAATAGTACGACATTGTTAATATGGTCGAGCTCACTTTAACTTATTGAAAGCGAACTCATTACGGAAGCGTCTCCGTAAAATTAGCCCTCATTTCGATTTCCTGGTTTTCTTTTCTCTCTCTCTCTCTCTCCCCCAAGATTCTCCTTTTTTAAATTTATTGATGTATATATATATATATATATATATATATATATAGATAGATAGATAGATAGACTTACCTCCACGTGGTGCACCCTGGGCAACGTTTACTCATACTGACAGTTGACATCTTACTCAAACTGCCATGACCCAACTGTATGACATATTCGGCCCCTAACACGATACCCATCTTGCCTTTTCTCTGCTTTTGTGTCTGTTTGTCTCTTTTAAATCTGTGTGTTCCCCACCCATCGATTTTCTGTTACTTTGATGTTCCTTCCCTCTGTGAAGCCCGTGGTCAGCTAAAGGGCTAATGATAACTATTAAAACGCCTGCCATTTGAAATGAATGATATATATATATATATGCTACTTTTTAATTTTAATATATTTCCCTTTCGCGGAACCTATTTCTAATTCAGCGAAAGAAAGCACACCAGAAACAGTAGCAGTGTCGAAGACTTAATAGTGGCACTTACATTAATTACATAACTGAGAATGGCTAGTTAATATGCTGCTGCCCACATTATCTCACAGGTTGAAAATGGATAGATGCTGATCAAGATGAAATTCCAAATCTTTTTGTTCGCCATAAATACTTTTTACTCACAAGGGGCCTTAATTTCTCATAAATGAAATATTGCTATAGGTAGGAATATTAACCACAAGTCATGATTAGGATGCATAGAGTACTTGTTATTTTCTTAAAGTAGGTCGTTATCTTTTCTTCAACTGTCATAATAAATTAAATTACCTTTTTTTATGATTGTAAGCCAAGTCTTTACTCACTCTACAAAAGTGGCTTCTAATTATTTCAGTGTCATGTCCTAGTTTGGCATTGAGCACATATCCTGCTCTGCTTCAACATGCTCGTGAACATGCTGACGGTATTCGCGAGAACGTGATCGCCATTCTTGCCCTACTTACCGATCCCTTTAGACACGAGGAAAGCCAGGCGACGTCACAAGTCTTTCCGGCAATTTCCCAGCAGGTTCGTTGGGTATTTCTAATGTTATATCACCCAATTTTTTTATTCATTTGACTCTGTCTACGCCTTTCGTACGCAAATTATGGTGCCCATGGTCGTAAGAATTATCTGATACAATTAGGTGTTCTCTGCAATTAACTTCATTATGAAATAATACAATAGGGTGCAGTTAAACTGTTAATGCCTCTCTGTCATTTAATAAATCTCTCCCTCGGTTAATGCGAAAATGGTAGTATGCACGTGCATCATAACACGTGAATACAGTGAAGACAAAGGTATCGGCTGGAGAATAGATCAGGATTCGGAGCCTCACAAAGTGGTGGTCATTTGTGTTTACAGCTCAGGGCGCTTGCAAGAATTCCAAGCAGCACTCCTACTTTTGTGCTGTTTTATGCAAATTGGCAGCGTGGTGTTATTGCCTTCCAGGTGTGATCTGAGGGTACCTAACTTATTAGTTAGATGTATTTCATGAGCACAAAAGTGCCAATTGAAAATTTGTGCAAACTTGAAGCTGATATCTCAGTGCGAAGAACGGAGATTAAAAATAAGTTCGCATTGGTATGGCTGATGCGTATAACAGTTTGATTTAAGCTTTAAACTGCACATCTTATTTCATATTACTTCACTTTAACTCCTTAGTAGATAAGCTTTATTATTATTATTATATCAAATGGCAGGCGTTTTGATTGTTATCATTAGCCCTTTAGTTGACTTCAGTCTTCACAGAGGGGAAGGAACATCAAAGTGCAAAAAAATTCAAGGGGGGGGGGAACAGAAGAGTGTATCAAAGACGAAGGTAGATAAGGTGGAAAAAAGGTGGGATGAGTACTGTGAGAGTAGTCGAATATGACATACAGTGGGGTCATGGTAGTTTGAAGTCAACTGCCAGGTAATAGACTTTTTTGACGTATGAGTATACGTTGCCTAGGGTGCACCACGTGGAGGTAAGTCTATCACACACCCCTAGTAGATAAGCATTGGGCTCAATAACAATGACGAGAAAAATGAATATAGATTATTGCAATTTTAACAATGACATTCCAATTTGCATTGAAATGATTCGTTTATGCATTTTTATTGCAATATTTTGCAAGTGAAGCCTCGATATTTGCTCTGCAGTTTTACCCCCAAAGCCCAAATACACATGCTCTTGAACAGGCTGTAATAATAATGGCATTGGTATTTGTTCTAGATGGCAGCGTATATGGGTTCACGGCTCTGCGATCGTCACATGAAGCAGTACCTGCAAACACTAGTCTGTGCCATTCGTGAAACCAACGTTTGCACCTACGCAGCCAGTGTAAGATCGATTCTATTTAATCTGCTGCTGCTGTCTGCATCGACAGGTCAAATTACGACCTAAATTGGCTTCCCCCCCTACTCTTTTTTTTCTAGATTCTCTACGAGTGCATGCTGAATGCCCCCTCGATGGCTGTTCTTTTAGCCTCAGATGACTCGGGCTATATTGACAGTCTGATTGGAATTCTGGAATTTCTTGTGAGAATTTGAATGCAATTTGTCTCTCTTTCATTCCTTCTTCCCTTCTTTTCTTTCTGACAACCCCCTTTCGCCTTTAAGCTGCAAGAAACTCAGCCGAAAACAGTTAAGCTAATCGAGATTGCAATTCTTTCACTGAGTTGTACTATCATTACAATGCGTTCGATACCTAATTCGTAAGTCACTTGGAGAGCCCTGTGTGTTCTTATCACTTGCCTCTAGTGTTTCTACCTGACGCATTTTCTTTTTATATTTTAACAGGATCTCTGCCAGAGTGAAGAAATTATCTTCCCTCTTCACCCACTCCCAATTGCCTAATCATGCGGTACATTCATAATTAGTACTACCCATTTTTTATGCGTTTTGTAGCCTAAAATTTTCGGCCTCTATTTTTGATTCTCGGAAAAAACGCTCCCATTACTACTGGACACTGGAAAAAGTCTAGACACTAAAAGGCAATTTAGCATCTTTTTATCAAATGCATATAATTCAAAACACACTTACTATTAGGCCAAAGTTTACTCACTTGGCTTATTTGTGAAGTCTGCACATCTGGAATCTGGTAGTGGGGGAAAAATCCACAGCCCACCTTTCCATGCCTTGTCTGTCTTTGGTCTTCGATAGAGGTTTGTGCTTACTCCTACATTTGGAGCTTTTCACAATATGTTAGCATAAGGCCTTGTCGTTGGTGAGTACTCTTTGGGCCATAGAATAGTTCAAACACGTTAGGTTGTCCGCAAAGCAGTTGAAGGCTAATATAATTTCTTTTTTCACCCTTCAGGCTGCAATGGGACTCCTGCTAGGAGAAGTGATGCGATATCAGCCCCTAATCCCTGTGGTCGAAGCTAGAGATCTTGCTCGCGTATTGCAGCTCGTATTGAGTAGTCCCTTAGTACAGAGCCGTGAGGCACGAGAACGTTTATTAGCTGCTGCACGGCCCCTCTCCTCGACCACATCGGTCTCCTGTTCGTCAATTGTCACCACAACCCCGTCTGCTGCTGCTGCTGCTGCCACGGATGCTGAAGGCGAAGTGGCCGCTGCAATACTCTTTGGCCTTCCACAAACACCCTGGCCTTGTGAGAGGGGGTGGCTGGATGGGGTATTCCATCTTGTTCAATGTTGTTCTTTACATCCTGTAAGTGGTAGCTTTGAATTTCTACTGAACTTAACTAGGTTTGACGGAGACTAAAGTAAGATGAAGTGCATTAGTTAAAGTTCTGGCATTTTTGACAACACGAACTCCACTATCACACGCTTTAAACCGAGAAGAAATGGTAATAGAATATTCTATTCCGGAAAGAAGTGAAAGGAGTCTAGAACCTTACAACCCTTAAGGCGAAACCGTAATCTATAAGATGATAAAATTCGCACCACAGTTGTTCTATTATGGGTAGAATTCGATTATTCATGCACACAAAGAAGTGAAAGTGATGGAAAATCGCTGAAATTTGGTTAGTAAGACATAAAGCTTAGCAACGCGATTGTTAACCAATCGCTTGGAACTTATTCACCCTCGGGAAGTGAGATAGTCGACGCACTTATTATGGCTGGTTAATAAGGAGTTAAGGTCTCTTAAATGGGTGCTCCCATTATGCTAGTTTACTGCACAGGATGTGAGTATTGGAAAATGTTTTCGTAACGTCGCATAAATAAGCTTGGAAGTTGGCCTTCAAACTGGTATCTAATCCCATTCGATGAGCAGCTTTAGGGGCCCTATTGGCATTGGCTACCCCTCTATAAGCTCCCGAGACATTGGAGCTATTTCCAAGTTTGAAAGCTTAGAATTGAGTTGAGTCGCGAAGTTGGCCTGTCCAATCAAGAAGCTTGCGGGAAAATGTAAGAAGAACTGAACATTAGTTGGGCAGGGAGCAATCGTTGATGCAGGTTGAGTGGAAGCGGTGTTGTGATAATGAGATTAAATTTAGATGCACGAAGTGGAGTTGATTTCATGGCCTTCTTTATTGGTCTGTTGAGCAAACAGTAGAAATCGTCATCTGACCGTGCAGACATGGGATGTAATGTGCGCTAAATTTAATTTCACACGCATTTCAATTTAACGTTATCCATCAAAGCACTTTTAACTTTACCAACAAAGTAATTAAACAGAACTTCTTTGCTACCCACCTTGTTCTAATTCCTCTTTTTCACCTACCTAATAGCATCTATGGATATCACTGCTCCGTCACCTCCTTGAGGGCCAGGTCTGGTCTCGAATGTGGCCCACCATCGGACAGGTTCTAGATATGTCTGCTCGTCGTCAAGCCAATGGCAATGGGTCAACACGACCTGCTCTATTAGATTGGCGACTTCTCTCTCCAACAGGTCTTCATCACGCCCTCATTCTTGCACTCAAAATTGCTCAACAGGTAATGGCAGTTGAGTTTAGCCCTTCTTTATTCAAATTTCTGTGGCGAGTAACTTGGGACTTCGATTTAGGAACCTCGTCTTCTACTACATTCGATTCGTGATGAGACTACAGATGTCCTATCCTGTTTGAACTTGCTCATCTCGCTGCCTAAGAATTATCCCAGGTCGGTCTCATCCCTATTATTTATTTATATCAAATGGTAGGCGTCTTGATGGTTATCATTAGCCCTTTAGTTGACTTCAGACTTCACAGAGGGGAAGGAAGATCAAATTGAAAAAGAGTCGAGAGGGGGGGGGTAACAGAAGAGTGTTTCAAAGATGTAAAAGAGACAGACACAAAGGTAGAGAAAAAGGTAAGATGTGTACTATGAAAGAGGTAGAATATGGCAAGCAGTCGGGCCATGGTAGTTTGAAGTGAGAAGTCAACTGCCGGTTAATAGACTTTTTTTGCCGTATGAATATACGTTGCCCAGGGTGCACCACGTGGAAGTAACTCTATCGCACACCCCTCATCCCTATTGTAGTTGCACTTATGCGTTTTCATATGTACAATTAAAGCTACATGTCTTGAAATATCTATAAAAAGGGTAGCAATCCAGAAAATTGAAGGTGGTAAGGTTTGAGTAATTATATCGATGTTATCATCTGTTTTTCTTAGGAAGCTGAAGATATGAGTGGGAAATGGAATTTGAATAGAATAAGAGTTATAGTATTGCTGATCTGTGGGGGG